TTGGTGAAGAGTCTGTATGGGCTCAAGCAGAGCCCGATGCTATGGTATGAGGCCTTGGATGGGGTGCTGCTTGGGGCTGGATGGAAGAAGAGCAAGGTGGATGAGGCTCTGTACTTCAAGACCGATGCTGAGGGGGAGATGTGCTGGCTGCTGGTGTATGTGGATGACCTGCTTGCTGCCAGCCGCAGTCAGAGCATGCTAGCGGAGCTGCGTGACCTGCTGCAGAGTGCCTTTCAGCTGCGGGAGATTAGCCCTGTGGAGAAATATCTGGGGTTGCAGCTGATTCGGGACAGGCCCACGAGGAGGCTGTGGCTGCACCAGGGGGCCTATGTGGACAAGGTCCATAGGCGCTTCTTTGACGGGGAGCAGCCGCTGCGAGTGCCTCGCACCCCTCTTTCCTCTGACCCTTTCAGTGTGCAGACCTTCGAGGATGTGGGATGGCAGTCTCGCCAGGAGGAGGAGTACAGGCAGAAGGTGGGATCCTTGCAGTTCGCGGCCTGTACCACCCGTCCCGACATCTCGTTCGCCTGCAGCAAGCTGGGGTCGGGCCAGACTGTGCGGAGTGATCAGCACTGGAAGGAGTTGGACCGGTGCTTGACGTACTTGGTGGGGAGCAGGGATGTGGCGCTGGAGTTTGGTGGTGGGCCGGAGTCCTTGGAGCTGGTGGGCTACGCCGATGCTGATGATGCAGGGGACAAGCAGAACAGGACCAGCACAGGTGGCTATGTCTTCGTGCTCGGGGGTGCTGCTGTCTCATGGGCGAGCCAGCGGATTCGTTGCGCCACCCTTTCCTCCACTGAGTCTGAGTACGTTGCTGCTGTGGAGGCTGGGAAGGAGGCGCGCAGGCTGCGCTTCCTGCTGGCAGAGTTTCAACTGCTGAGGAGTGAGGAGCCCACGACTCTCTTTGTGGACAACTCCTCCGCCATTTCAGTGGCAGGTGGCATGGGGCTCAAGGGGAGCCTCAAGCACATGGAGCGTCGTCACATGTGGCTGCAGCACATGGTCAATCGCAGGAAGCTGCAGCTGCAGTACATCCCTACGAGCGAGCAGCCTGCTGACTACCTCACAAAGGCATTGCATTTCCCCGCCTTCAGTCGTTGCTTCGAGGCTGTGGGGCAGGTGTGGCTCTCGAGTGAGGGGAGTGAAGACCTAGACACTCCATGATGTGGATGGTGCCATGGCCTATCCATGGCTGGTGCGGTGCGTGTTTACACTTTGAGCGTGTTTCGTTTGTGTGTATCCCTTTGTTTTGGTGTGTATGTGTGTATGCATGCCCTGTGATTATAAAGGGCCTTGCTGTAGTATGGCAGGGGAGTGTTAGAGGGCCCTACGACAGCAAGGGCCCTCGATGACCTTTGACTTGGCAGGTCGGCGCCTAACGACTGAGTCTACTCGGCACCGACGCACGAGTTCGGTGGCGGTCATTAGTGACTACGGGTGACTGTGAGCTACTGCAGCGAACTCGGTGGAATCGGTGCTAGGAATGACGAGTCTTGGGGGTCGTAGGTGCCTTGCTTGTGAGGCACGCTGCTCACTTGCTGTGTTGGCAGGAGTAGCGTGCACGGTGAGACATTCCGGTGCCGAGTTGGGTTGGAAATGTGCGGGGCGCGTTCACCCACCTGCACAGCACTTTCGTGTGGGTTGGGTTACTCGCAGCGCCATGCAACAATTGTGCAACTCTTGCTTGCCTATATATGTTTGTGTTTGCTTGTGTGTTTGATAATTGATATTGCAATTCTACTTGGCCCAAAATGCTACTTCAATTCTCACAAAGTCCTTAAGAGGCAAACGCTACCAAAACTCTACCAAGTTGCTGGCGCAACATCATTCCCATAGCAGAGACTCTCTCGCTATCGCTACGCTCTCTAATATATTCCTTCATAAGAAAGTTAGTCAAAAACAGAAAAATAAATAACAATAACAAGACAGAAACAACAACAAAAACTGAAAGCAGAGGAGGAAGAGAGTACCTTCATTGACGGAGAAGAACTACCGTGGTGCTCCTCCTCCCGTGATCTGAAGGGGGAGGAGAAGAAAGAGACAGAAGGGGAGGGTGATAGCTTCCTCCGCGGCTCCATTCTAGACCTGCAGCGCAGAAAAAAAAACCATAAGAAAGTTAGTTGAAAACAGAAAAATATGTTGGCTACTATTAGCCCTTAGTCTGCTCTATGCGCACCACTTAAGTCACACTAAGTGATCTCCACCTGGCCTCGTCCTCGGGCCCACGGTTCTCCAAGTGTATACGCACTAGAGTAGTCCCACACTTAATTGCGCAGCGTCTTGTTGATCAATTGTCACGTCTCCAGAAATACTCTTCACGTCAATACGTTGAAAGAGGAATGATAATTCGTTGAGTATTAATCACAAAGAAACACAAGCACAATCTTATACTAACCCACCGAAATCAAAAGCTAACAGCCCACCGAAATGATAGCTGGAAACATACTTCGAAATGCCAGCTTTCACCATGCGAAATGAGTTGAAACATGCTCGCCCACACTTGTTCCTATGGGCCATACTTGCTCGCGAACGCTCGTGGACGCTCGTGGTGTTTCGTGGCGACAGCTCGTGACAGCTCACGGAAACACCTGACGATTTCGCGAAGTTACGTGACGGAATTGCGAAGTCGTCGAAATCCTCCTCGCACAATTCGCACCTGCGTCGAAATTAATCGCGCACTTCGTGAAACACCCTGGTGAGTTTTCTCCTCGGATAATGCAGACAAAAGGCTCGAGGGTCCCACGTAATCCAACCTGGACCCACGATTTCTCGGCCTTTTCCCTCGCGCCACCTGCACACCCCACTTGCGCGTGTGGCGAATCCATCTGCAGCCTCAGGCCTCGCGTGTGCACATGCTGGCACACTACTACCACTTGGCGCCACTCCCATAATTGCGCCAGAATCAGTACAGTGCTCGGCACCCCTTCAATACCTTGACCAGGGGCGAAATTCCCCGAACTCCCATGAACAAACACAAAATAACGAACGCACTCATGAAAACACACGAAAACGCATCTCACAAACTTTACCTGAAAACTCATGAACTCACACGGAAATACATGAACACTTCACGAAACACTCATGAACATTCATGACACTTTCACGAACACTTGTGACTCGCAGAACACATGAAATAACACGAACACATCCGAACACACATGAACTCTCACATACTCAAACCTTCACGAAAACTCTCATAACTCATGAACCGATAAGGCGAATCACGAACCGTAAACGCTCAAACCTAAAGCACAGAAACTCCCATCTCATGAAACACAAATTACCTTAACTCCAAATGCCTCAGCCAGTTGAAAGTCGTGGGTGGTTGTTACGAACCACTCCAACAATCTCCCCTGTGGTTCGGCAACCACACACGCCACCATGCTCCCCTGCTCCTTGACATCTAACTCAGCTTCACACTCCCCTGCAGCTCCTTCAACTGACGAATCCCAACCTTCTCCTTGCAGTACTCGAAGTTAGACCTAGGTAACACCTTGGTCAAGAAATCCGCTGGTTGCTCATCAGTGGGAACAAACTCAAACTTGAATTGCTGCTTCTCAAGCTGCTCCCGCACCCAATGATACTTCACATTCATGTGCTTCGTCCTCCCGTGCCAGTTGTCGTTTCTGGCCAAGTCAATGGCTGACTTGCTGTCCGACCTCACAATAGTAGGCCCCTCAACAGCGATCTCGAACTCTGTCAGCAACCTCCTCAGCCACACTCCCTCTTGGCACGCAAAGAATAGTGCCATATACTCAGCTTCAGCAGTTGACAGTGCTATGTCCGCCAATTTCTTTGCTTGCCACATGATGGCCGTGCCCCCAAGAAGGAACACATAACCATATGCACCTTTCCCTGTCTTCTTGTCCGATGCATGCGAGGCATCTGCATACCCCACCAGCTGCAAAGTCTCCTCCCCTCCCTCAAAGAGAAGACCCTCGTCTTCATGCTGCACCAAGTAACTAAGTGCTCGCTTCATCTCCCTCCATTTCCTTCCCTGCTGCACATGCTGCCCCAAATAGCTCGCTGCATACGCGATGTCGACCTTTGTGCATGAGACCGGATATATCACCGATCCCACCATCGACTGGTACATCTGCAGCGCCTTCTTTTCTCCTCCCCATTGCTTCACATCCTCTTCCTGCTCGGTATCATTGGTTGCCATGCCGCTGAGTGGTGTAGTAATCTCCTTGGTGTAACCTTGGCCGAACCTCTGCTGCACCCGGTTGCAATACTTCTTCTGGTACAAGAAGAGTTTCTTCTCTTCCACGTTCCGCTCCAGGTTCATCCCCAGAAACAGTGTCGTCCTAGGAATCTGCTTCACCTGAAAAACTTCAGCTAGGTGCTCACACACCTTCTCCACCTCAGTCGGTAATGCTCCTGCTATGAGGATATCATCCACATAGAGCAGCAAGTACACCTTCTCTTCTCCTTCTCCCCTCCAATAGAATGCTCGGTCACATTCACTTTTCTGAAACCCTCCTTTCAGCAGCCTCTCATCCATCGCCTTGTACCACTCTCGTGGACTCTGCTTCAGCCCATATAGCGCCTTCAACAACTTACACTTCCTGTCCGTGCCATCCTCAAACCCGGTTGGCTGATCCATGTACAGCTCCTCCCTCACTACCCCATGCAGAAACGCATTCTTGATGTCCAACTGCACCAAGAAATAGCCCCTTGCCGCTACCACCTTTAGAAATGCTCTTGCAGTTGTAAGCTTGCTCACGGGGACGTAAGTCTCGGTGTAGTCAATCCCCTCGACCTGAGTATACCCTTTTGCCACCAGCCTTGCCTTAAAGCGCTCCAGCTGCCCCATGTCCCCTGTCTTAATCTTGAATATCCACTTCACCCCCACTGCTGCCCTTCCTTCCGGCATAGGCACTAACTCCCAAGTGCCTCTCTCTGCTAGTGTATCCAGCTCCTCCTGAATTGCAGCCATCCACTGCTCCTTTTGTGGTCCTGCCAAGGCCTCCTCTACCGTCATGGGCTCCTTAGGCAGGTCATGTTTCTCCATTAGTCCTTGTGTCAGCAGCGCCGTTGCTGTTGCTGTGAATAAAAGATGGGTCTTCACATCCTTCCGAGGGGTCATGACCAGGGAAACAAATCTGTGAGTTCTCTTCTTAACCCTCATACCGCGCCCCATTTCCTCAGCAGTTGACTCGTCCTTACTCACGTCCTTTGTCGCTGCATATATCTCGTCAAGCCCTCGTTCTTTTCCTAGCACCATGGCTCCATCCTCCAGCAGCTCATCAATCTCCTTAGCAGCTTCACTGCTAGAATCACTCTCAATCAGCTTCCACGGATCATGCTCGTCACCCTTTGCTGACCCTTCACTGCTGTCCCCAAGCTCCACACATTGATCTTCCTCCTCAGCACCCGTCTCTCCATGCTCTACTTCCTGATGCCCATCTTTCTCCATTACTGCTGCCTCCTCTACAACCCTCTTGTCCTGTGAATCCAATGCCCAAAGAACTCCATCTGCTGGTTGCTCCACGTCATCTCCTATCGCGTCATCATCACTTCCTATCCCCTCAATCTCCTTCTCCTCTAGCAGCTTCTCCACCTTATCAAGCACGGCTGCCGCTCCCATTGCTATCTCCTTGTTCACTCCCTTCCACTGTAGATAGTTGACGTTCTCGTAGAAAATCACATCCCTCGTCACAACCATCTTCCCCGTCTCCACATCCTTTGTCACCCAGCCCTTGCTCACCTTGCACATCCCAAGGTTGATTCCCCACTTGCTCCTTGGTAGGAGCTTGTGGTCCGGTCCAGCTGGCTCCCTATACTGAGCCATGCAGCCCCACACCCTCACAAACCCCATGTTCGGCTTCCTCCCATAGAAAGCCTCATGCGGAGTAGTATCTGCTGCAAGGCCTTTGGTAGGCAATCTGTTCTTCACCCAGCATGCCACCCCCAAGGCATCTCCCCAATACTTCAGTGGAAGACCGCTATCAGCTAGCATGGTCCTCACACTATCCAATAGTGACCTGTTTACCCTCTCTGCAATGCTGTTGTGCTGTGGGGTGTATGGTACCGTTAGCTGCCTCAGTATCCCCTTCGTACGCAGAAAACTGTTGAACTCCGCATTCACAAACTCCCCACCGTTATCAGTCCTTAACACCTTCAGCTGCTTCCCACTCTGCCTTTCAGCTTCCGCCATCCAGTCCAGAAAACTGGAAAACACCTCTGTCTTATCCTTGATCTCTGTTACCCACGTGTGCCTAGTTCCTAGGTCAGTGAAAGTGACGAAGTACCGGCTTCCATGCCTAGAAGTTTCCCTCAACGGCCCGCACACATCAGCTGCCACTATCTCCATTGCGCCGTAGGGCTCCTGAACCTGGTGTATGGGATGGGGGGTTTTTGAGATCTTGCCTTCCACACACTTGCCGCACCTCCCTTTACTCCCATCTCCTTCCTTCAGCTCCACACCAGCTGCCATGCCCTTCTTCACGAGCTCCTTAATCCGCTCCATCCCCGCATGTCCTAGACGCCTATGCAAGGTCTCTAGATCCACTTTTGCAGCTGCTGCCACCATTGCAACAGCTTCCACCTGTAGCTCCTCTACCAGTACTCCTTTTAGCTTCGCCTTCAACTCCTCCCTCTCCATCACTCCCTCCTTCGGTGGTGGCTGGTAGGTAGCCTTCTCAGCAGCCAAGACTTTCTCATTCAGCTTCATCTCGTACAACCCATCATTCCTCATCCCCTCAGCAATAACATTCCATGCATGATCAAACACCCACATCTTCCCTTTGTCACTGAAGGTCTTACACCCGGTGCTGTCCAACTGTGATTGACTTATCAGATTCAAAGCCAATCCATCCACAAACAGCACATTCTCCAACTTCAATTCCCCATACTGTCCTTGCAACACCAGCTCTCCCTCACCCTTCACAGGCAATTTCCCTTCATTGCCCAATATCACATAAGGCACACTTGACTCCCTCATTCCAGTCAACCACTCACTATGATTCGTCATGTGCTGAGTGCACCCGATGTCCATGAACCACGCAGCGTCTCCACCTCCTTTTGCCAGCATGCACACCTCTGATGCACGCGCCACATTTGCCTTGTGTGCACCACCCAGAATGACATCCTCTTTGTCATTCTCCGCTGCAGCTGCTGCATTCGCTTTAGGAGGCGTTGTTCCCTGCTGCTGCGGTCCCTTATAACTTCGGCTGTTGGGATTAGAGTAGCAGTCAATCGCCCTGTGCCCAATCTTCTTGCAATGGTGGCATGCTCCACCAAACTTCCCTTTTGGTCCCCTTCCGTTTCCAGCACCACTATGCTGTGCTCCGCTCCATCCCGCACCGTTCCCCTTGTAATTTCTGCTTCTTGGGTTCTCCACGCACTCAAACGCACGGTGCCCCATCCTACCACACTGGTAACACGCTCCCGAGGTTCTTCCCGCAGCTGCCGCATTCACCAATGCAGGTTTCTCCTGCTCCATGCCGTCAACAGCTTTCTCCCTCCGCTTGGAATCTTCTCGTGACAACTCCAACGCTTGAAGCATCTCGAGTAGCCTCGTCATATTTGCAGGCGGGTTGCAGATCAGCGCCGGCTTCTCTCCCGCCCAATCCTTTGGTAGCCCGTTGATGATATATCCCATCATCGCCCGCTCACTTTCCTCCGCACCCATCGCAGCCAAGTCGTCATTGTAGCTCCTAGCAAGGTTGATGTAGTCAATGATCTTCTGATTCGGCTCCATGCTCATCAGCAGCAATTTCCTTCGTACCGCAGCTATGTTGCTCTCCATTTGGCCTAGGTAGGCCGACTCCATGTACGCCCATGCTTGCCGTGCAGGGTCTTCATGTTCTGCAAACTGATCCATACCCACAGCAATTCCATCAGAAACTGAGTGGCACAATTGAAAGAATGCTTGCTCACTCCTCCTTTTGTATGCCGCTTTTTCTTCATCCGTTTTTGCCGCCCATGAAGCTTCTTTTCCTGCTTCAACCGCACGGTAGAGCTCCCAGAAGCCGACCTCCTTCGCCCTCCGTATAAACTTCAAACGCCACGTGCTGTAGTTCTTCCCGTTGAAACGCTGAGCCTCGCTTAGCCCTATGGTAGGTTTCGCCACTACCGATCCGTGCGCTAGCATTTCTAGAAGAGCCTTCACTTGGGGATCTCCAATGCTCACAGAGGAGCCCGAACTAGCCTCCGATTGACCACCCGTCATCTTGAAGGCTTCGTCCGCTCTTAAGAATGCTAAAACGCCACTTCAACCAGCTCTGATACCACTTGTTGGCTACTATTAGCCCTTAGTCTGCTCTATGCGCACCACTTAAGTCACACTAAGTGATCTCCACCTGGCCTCGTCCTCGGGCCCACGGTTCTCCAAGTGTATACGCACTAGAGTAGTCCCACACTTAATTGCGCAGCGTCTTGTTGATCAATTGTCACGTCTCCAGAAATACTCTTCACGTCAATACGTTGAAAGAGGAATGATAATTCGTTGAGTATTAATCACAAAGAAACACAAGCACAATCTTATACTAACCCACCGAAATCAAAAGCTAACAGCCCACCGAAATGATAGCTGGAAACATACTTCGAAATGCCAGCTTTCACCATGCGAAATGAGTTGAAACATGCTCGCCCACACTTGTTCCTATGGGCCATACTTGCTCGCGAACGCTCGTGGACGCTCGTGGTGTTTCGTGGCGACAGCTCGTGACAGCTCACGGAAACACCTGACGATTTCGCGAAGTTACGTGACGAAATTGCGAAGTCGTCGAAATCCTCCTCGCACAATTCGCACCTGCGTCGAAATTAATCGCGCACTTCGTGAAACACCCTGGTGAGTTTTCTCCTCGGATAATGCAGACAAAAGGCTCGAGGGTCCCACGTAATCCAACCTGGACCCACGATTTCTCGGCCTTTTCCCTCGCGCCACCTGCACACCCCACTTGCGCGTGTGGCGAATCCATCTGCAGCCTCAGGCCTCGCGTGTGCACATGCTGGCACACTACTACCACTTGGCGCCACTCCCATAATTGCGCCAGAATCAGTACAGTGCTCGGCACCCCTTCAATACCTTGACCAGGGGCGAAATTCCCCGAACTCCCATGAACAAACACAAAATAACGAACGCACTCATGAAAACACACGAAAACGCATCTCACAAACTTTACCTGAAAACTCATGAACTCACACGGAAATACATGAACACTTCACGAAACACTCATGAACATTCATGACACTTTCACGAACACTTGTGACTCGCAGAACACATGAAATAACACGAACACATCCGAACACACATGAACTCTCACATACTCAAACCTTCACGAAAACTCTCATAACTCATGAACCGATAAGGCGAATCACGAACCGTAAACGCTCAAACCTAAAGCACAGAAACTCCCATCTCATGAAACACAAATTACCTTAACTCCAAATGCCTCAGCCAGTTGAAAGTCGTGGGTGGTTGTTACGAACCACTCCAACAAAATAAAGAACAACAACAAGACAGAAACAACAACAACAAAAAAAAAAGACTGAAAGCAAAGGAGGAAGAGAGCACCATTATTGGCGGAGAAGAACTACCGTGGTGCTCCTCCTACCGTGATCTGAGGGGGGAGGAGAAGAAACATAGTAGGAGATAGGAAAGTGATAGGGACTGCCGCGGTTCCTTGTGTACCTGAAAGGCACGGAAAACGCCTCTGCCTTCTCTTCTCTTCTGGTCTTCGCTTGCCTGAAAGGCACGAGGGAAACACGCCTCTGTCTTCTCTTCGAAGAGATATCTTCTGGTCTTCGAGTGCCTGAAAGGCACCAGGGAAAAACGCCTCTGGTCTTCTCTTCTTCTTCTTGTCTTCGCTTGCCTGAAAGGCACGAGGGAAACGCCTCACGCCTCTGTCTTCTCTTCACGCGCGCGCGTTCTTCTGTAGCCTGAAAGGCACGATGTGGAAACACCTCCGGTCGGGACGGCGACTGTTGTACTCCGTGTAGTGGTCTTCGAGTCTTCTAAGTTGAGAATGAAACAAAACTGAATATGAAGGGACGCAACTTGCAGCGAGGGTGGGAATCCCTGGCTCGAATCGCTTGCTACTGTACCACTCACTGTCAAATTTTGGTCTGACTAGACAAGTCAGAACAGTGGTGGATGGCAGGGAGGGAAGGCAGCAAAATTTGGTCTGACTAGACAAGTCAGAACAGTGGTGGGTGCCAGGGAGGAAAGGCAGCGGTGGGCCCATCCCACAACCTAGATGAATGCGCCAAAAAATTGGTTTGGTTTGACTCAGATGAGTTAGAGCTGTTTTGGGAGGGAAGGGCATAACGAGGTCATACCCGTTGTGGTTGTTTCTGCTAGAATTTGCTTCGTTATGGTTGCAGATATGTGGAGAACACTTTCAGGTTAGTTTCGGTTCTGTTAGATTCAAATGTTTCATCTGATTGGGGGTGAGGCAGCGAGATGAAGTTTCTCGTCTCAGGAGGTTCTAAGTCACGGGCAGGTCACGTGGCACAGGTTATAATCTAGACTGAACTTTTGGCGTGAGGTGCGGGACGGCATGAGTAGAGAATAAGGGTGCGTTTCTAGCCCGTGTCAGACATCAGGTCAAAGCTTCGGAAGACACAAAGTGACTCGGTTTGTGTCTTCCGAACCTAAATTTGCCAGCATTCCGAGTCCCTTTGGGTCTTCCCAACCTCAACTTCGTGTCTGGCTTCGTGTCTGACACGGGTAGAAACGCACCCTAAGAATGTCCATTGGCTGCAAGAAGTTTTGGTGGTGTCAATCAAGATTCGGGCAACGGAAGGAAGGGGTTGGGATGAACAATCTTCGAGACCCAATCAGGAACGGAGATGGGAAGGGTCAAAATCCGAGAGAAAGAAAATTCGGGCAGAGGGGAGATAGTGTTTCGGTTGGTTGGTACACCACCACCTGCTCAGATCTCGTTGTTGCCTATGTGCCTCGCTTGCTCAGATTGTTTGACCTTGTTTCGATTCCCAAGCAACTTTGTTGTATCGTCTTCCTCTCATTGATCGTAGTTAGCCAGTTCCGCCATATGTCATAGAGCGTTCCGCCTCAGCGAGTAGTGGCGTTGTGAAGGGTAGGAAGTATCTGCCAGGTGCTGCTTACTGATTATTCCGGAAAAATCGCGATTAGTTTGTTGCCGATTTCGTACAACCGAGCCTTCGCGAAGCAGCTCTATTCTTGAGGGATTGCGTTGTTAGCGGTTACAAGAGAAATTTCGTACCTCAATATACAGCGCGCGCATCCCTATGTTTCCGCGACACGCGCTGTCTCCAATGATTTGCGCTAGTGACGCACACGCGTGGCGTACGTCTCTACGCCGTAATTTCGGAGGAGCACGATCAGACTTTCGCCAGATTCCCCTCCCTCCCTCCGCCCACGCCCTCATGTTTCGCCATATTGCCAGGCAGTTAGGGTTTCGGAGGGATGTCTTCCGCGGCATCACGCACGCAGGAGGGCTTTTGGGTTCGGATCTCCCTCACACTCCGTCTTTCCCTCCGCGCATCCCTTATCCCCCCGCCGCTCACCCCTCACCCCATTTCCTAATCTCCCTCGTTCCGATTTTCCTCTCATTGCGCCCGTTGCGCCCACCCCTCATTGCTCCTGTGCTCAGTGCTCATCCGCATCTCGCGCTTTCCGGTCGTTTACGCTTCGTTGTGCATCAGCCATGTGCTCCCCCCGTCACTTACCTCGCATTTCCTTTTCGCTCAGCCCGCATCCCCCCTCGCTTACCTCATATTCTTCGTCGTTACCCCCTCGTTTCCCGCCGTCGCTCTCCACTCGTTTCCCCCCGTCGCTCTCCACTCGTTTCTCCCGTCGCTCTCCACTCGTTTCCCCCCGTCGCTCTCCACTCATTTCCCCCCGTCGCTCACCCCTCAGTTCCCTCCGTCGCTCGGCCCTCAGTACCTCACATTCCCCGTCTCTTTCCCCCTCGTCCCCCCTTCGCTCACCTCTCCTTTCCCTGCTTTACTCACCTCTCATTTCCCCCCCTTTCACTCACCCCTTGTTTTTCCCATTTACTCACCCTCATTTCTCCGCTATCGCTCACCCCCCATCCCCCCCGTGGCTCATCCTTCATTTTCCCCTTTCCGCTCACCATCCATTTCCCCCGTTATTCACCCGTCATTCCCTCCCGTTCCCCCCGTTACACACCCCGCATTCCCCCTTTCCCTGGCCCCTCATTTCCCGACTTCGCGCACTCGATGATAGAAGTGTTTTGAGGCGTTCCCCTCTTCTGCTCACCCCTCATCCCCCTCTTCCGATTACCCATCATTCCGCCCCTCGTTGCTCATAACGATTTCCCCCCCGTCTGTCACCTCTCTCTCCTCCCCGGTCTGTCACCTCTCACCCCCCTGGCCCCCTCCCCGTCTGTCACCTCTCACTCCTCCCCGGTCTGTCACCTCTCACCCCCCCGCCCCCCCCCCCCCATCTGTCACCTCTCACCCCCCCCCCGTCTGTCACCACTCACTCACCCCCCGTCTGTCACCTCTCACTCCCCCCCCATCTTTCACCTCTCACTCCCCCCCCGTTCCTCACCCCGCATTCCCCATTATCATCACCCACCCATCCCAACTTACCAGCTCCCTAGGCATGTCCACTTACTCTATCTCCACTCCCACTCTCCGACCTCCCGCTGTCCTCAGCCACTGTCCTCCCGCTGCTCCCCTCGCCCCTTCCCTTCTCTCTTCCTTCTCACTTCCCCTGGTTCTGTTCACGTATCCCATCCCATCCCATCCCACTTCCCCTCGCCCGTCACACTTGCCACCATCCTCTCCCCTTCATATACCCATTGCTTCCCTTCCTTCCAGCGGAATACGCAATCTGTTCCTTCCGTATTCCCAACCCCGCCCAAACCACTTCAACAGCCATGCCCTGTCTCCCATGGAGGCCCCATTATTCCAGCTGGTCTTGTTGCTCACGACCGGAGGGAATATTCTGCTGTTGTTAGATGGTCTGTGGCCTGTCCCCTCAACCCCACCCCCCCCCCCCTTCTCCTCCCTCCCCTCCTTCCCTCCCCTCAGTGAACTTGGACTGTCGCCTCCCTTGTCCCAGACTGCTTGACTGACCTTGCCCTCTCTCACCTCTCCTCTCCTCTCCTCTCCCCCAACCCCCCTCCTCGAAAACCCCCCACCCCTTCCCCCCCCCACCCTATTCGGAACCTAGTCATGCCCTTTCTGTCAGGTCAGTGGCTTTTGCTTGTCCCTGTCCCTTATCATCCTCAAATTCCTAATGCCCCCCCAAGGCTACCTAATCTAGCACCATGATTCCAGCTGTTCCTGCTGCTCAACACCAGTCACCAGAGAGCTTAGTGACGGAAGAAATGTGTTTCTCATGGCCCACTTGGTTCACTTGGTGTCCTTGTGTTGAATCTGGTCGTTCTTGTACTGCCTGTATTTTATATGCGGTACATTATTAGATTTGTTTGTTCCGCTGTCCACATGGCACTTGATGACTCTTTCTCTCTTCCATACTGGTTCAGCACAACAGTTTGAACCTTCATACACCAAGTCACAAATAAGCCGATTCGTTATTTTTGTGTTTTAATAAAAATACACGCGCTTATGTTTATGTCAGGGTCACGGCACTGACTTTTTCCTGCTCCGCCACCTGCGCGGACGTGACGACAACAGGTAGGGAAGGATGCCTATTGCCCCATGCCCAGACTGCATCAATCGTGCCTGTGCACCGCACACTACACGAGCAAATGCTCCAATGAGTCATCTGGCTCGGGTTCCGTGCTCTGCGGCGATGCACACGGCATACAGTGCACAGAATATCAAATTCTCCTGAATTGGGAAAAGTTTTCGCATTCACCTTTTTTTTTCCTGCGGGAAATTGGCGCAAGGGTTACAGAACCACGACCACCTGAAGCTTTCCACTCGCCCTTGTTGCCTGGCTACAGTTCTTCTACCCTCGACAAACATTATCGCCAGCTTTCCTGCCAGGTACCCACCTGATTTCTCGCACCGCACAAATTATGGAAGACAGACGTCACGCGACTGGACAATATCAAGTCAGAACCTTTTAAAACGATATAAAAGCTAACGACACCGGACTGAACAGATTCGTATGCTAAAATTCACTCATCTGTTGGCCACACCTTCCTGCCTTCGTTTCCAAGCATACGTGTATACACAGCTCGGTCCCTCATGTCACCAAATCAAGCATTTCACCTGTGTCTCTTCCCTCATGAACAAGTCAGCAATCGCCACCAAAGCCTAAACGAAAGAGTTTGTTCGGAACCACCATGGTCAAGATATCCGCCTCCTGCTTAGTCCCAAATCCAAGCTCCAGATTCATTCTTGGCGAATTCAGAGACGGTGTTACTAACACGTTAGTATTTTTCGTGTTTGGCTTTCTGGGCTAGCTCCGTCCGTCCACGTGCAAACAGCATTCGTTTATCTTGAAGTTTGGTTTCTGCCCGAGAAGACTTGTTTTAGAGTTTATCGGCGTTGAGTTTGAGTTCGCAATGGCGCTCCAACAACTCCTTGGCTTGTCGTTTCTTTTTCTGCTCGTCACCGCATGCGTCGGTGAGTGACACACGCAATGGTACCACAGCGATTCGATTGGCGTGTCCTGCAGTCAATTTCAGCACCGAAATATCATGGATAGGCCATGGCAGCATCCACATCATGGAGTGTCTAGGTCTTCCCTCCCCTCACTCGAGAGCCGCACCTGCCCTGATGTAAAGGACTCTCCTCTACTTTGCAGGAACTGGGAATTGTTCTAAACGATAGAGCTCTGTCTTAGCTTTCCAACGAGCCGTCAATTGCTTCGTTCGCCTGAGAAACGAGCGAGCTATAGCTGGAAACGTGAAGACTATGCTCTATGTTGAAGGATAGGAATCTCTCTGGATTTTGTGTTCGAATGCACTTCATACAAAGTGATTCAGAATGTTCAGTATATCATGCAATACAAAAGCAAACACATTTATATGAACTGCAAAACGTCGAATCGCACATGTAACCTCGAACCGCGGTACACTCGAATGTTCGAGTAACATCGAAGGGGTGAAATTCGACTCTCGAATTTCACCGAATCGAATTCTCCCTGAGTCTCGATTCATCTTGTGTTGCCATGTGGCACCAATCGAGTGGGTCTTCCGAAGTCAACCCACACACTTCGTGAAACCTGCAGCTCTCTCAAGCGGTGAGCACCGAAACACATTCGGTGGGTTGGGGGCATATCAATTGCCCCACCACCGTTTGCTTCTAACTCACGCGACCTCCAACACTCCCCCTTGCACCCAACCCACTAGGTGTGCAATCCAACATGCTCGTAGCATGCACGGAACGGATCTTTAGGGGGTAGTTCCATGAGAGGATCCATGTGTTCATCATCACCCATGGTTGCGAAGCAAAATGCCGCCCCCTCCCTATCCAACTTCCCAACGGCTACCGTAGCATAGTCGGCGTACTTGGAGGGAGGACGAACCTCACGACGCTCGCGGGTCAAGGCCAATGGTAGGGAGGAAGGTGTGGAGGTAGTTGCTGCCTCGGTAGGTGACACCTCCACGACATCATCAGCGCTCTCCTCGTTGTTCTCTCCCCCTCCATCGGCTTCCTTCTCCACTTGAGGTGGAGTCTCACTCTCTTCAACCTCCTCTCGTGGCGGAAGGATGAAAGTGAGTTGTTGAGTGGGTTTCTCCTTCGACGGGAACTTGTCTTCATCGAAGACCACGTCCCGAGACGTGACGACACGTTTTTCACCCAAGTCCCACACTCGCCATGCACGCTCGTTTGGCGCAACTCCCAAGAAGATCGCCGCACGAGCTTTCGGTTGCAACTTGTGGCGAAGAGGATCCGGTATATGGTAGTAGCAAAGGCACCCAAAGGTGCGTAGGCGGGATAGGTTCGGCTTCGTTCCGGTCCATGCTTCGAACGGATTCATTCCCAGTAGCACCTTTGTCGGCACACGATTACGAATCCATGCCGCTAGCGCACTCGCCTCTCCCCACCACTCGTTCCCAAGCTTGGAGTGTTGAAGTAGTGAACAAACGGCTTCCACCAACGTGCGATTAAGCCGCTCCGCCGCTCCATTTTGTTGGGGTGTGTAGGGTGTCGTGACGTCGTGCTTTATGCCCTTGCTCTTCATCCATTTCTCAAGCTCCGCGTTCACGAATTCGCCCCCACCGTCGGTGCGAATACACTTGATCCGCTTCTTGTCGTCGTCGCAAACATCGAGCGCCCACTCTTGAATCGCTTTGGCCGCATCTCCCTTAGCCTTCAAGAGTCGGGTCCAACACATCCGCGTCGCGTCGTCGAGCATCACCAAGAGGAACCGCGCTCCTCCCTTTGATGCATGTCGCATCGGTCCACACACGTCCATGTGAACAAGCGCAAGCGGGTCCTTAGCGAGGGGTGACGTTCGGCTACCAAATGGCTTGCGAGCCATTTTTCCTTCGACACACGCCGCGCACACGCCCTTCTCGTCGTCGCCGGCGATCACGTCAAGTCCCTTCGCAAGTCCTTTGTTGGCCAACTCCTTGACCGAGTCGTAATTGGCGTGCGCAAGTCGATCATGCCACGCCTTAAGAGTTGCCTTGGAGCCTTGCGCCACGTTCGATGAAGCCACTCTTGGGTACGTCTTGAGTTGGTAGATATCTCCATTGAGAACCCCTTGCGCGAATTGCTCCCCCTTCCAAAAGAGGTTCATCTTCGCACCGTCGATGGTGGCGATCACGCCCTTCTTCGCCAGTTGCGGGACGGATAGAAGGTTCACCTTCACCCCCGGGACGCGAAGCACGTTCGTGACGTCCACCGGTCCGCTATCGACGATGAGGCGCGTACTCCCAACTCCAACCACCGGTAGAGATTCGTTGTTTCCGAACAGATGCTCGTGACGTCTCCCGGAGCGCCAATGTTGTTGAGGAGCGACGCCGAGTGCGTCATGTGTTGCGTTGCGCCGGTATCGAGGAACCACGCGTCGCTTGGAGTTTTGTTCCCGTTGCCGGCCACTAACACGAGCGACTCCTTTGAATCATCGGCCTCGCCGGATGCCGTGTGCGCGTTGCCCTCTTCGTCCCGCGCCTTCGATGGAGTCCAATCGCTCGGGCGCTTCCGACACTCACGCCAAAAGTGTCCCGGTTTGCGGCAATAGTGACACTTGCCGCGATGCTCGCTCCCACCCGACGATTCATTCGTCGCACCCTTGCTCCACTTGGACTTCTTTCCGGAACTCCCTCCGGAGTACATGGCGGTCCCCTCGCTCTCATTCGCGAATTGTCGGCGACGTGATTCCTCATGGAGAAGCCGACCGACCACCATTTCCTTCGTCCAAGTGCCTTGCACGCTATCGAGTGTCGTAATCACCGTCGACCACTCTTCCGGAAGGCCGCAAAGCAAGGTGAGAATCCAATCCTCCTCCGAGACCGTTCCACCGAGGTCCATGAACGATTCCCCGAGTTCCTCCACACGAGTCGCATACTCGTGCATCGATTCGCCCGCGCGCATCTTCACCGTGTAGAACGCATTCCGGGCTAGGATCTTGCCGTGGAGAGTCTTGTTCACGTGGATGGTCTCGAGCCGCTTCCACGCTTCATGCGCCGACGCTTCGAGCTTGATGCACATGCGCACCGAGCTCACGAGATTGATGCCGATGCGCGAAATCAACGTAGCGAACGCCTTTTGGTCCTTCTTCTTCCATGTCGTGATGTCGCTCTCGTCGTCCGGCTTCTTCTCCGTTCCATCGAAGAATCCCCAAAGTCCCCGCTCCATCATGAGCACTTGGAACTTAAACTTCCACGCGGAGTAATTTTGTCCCGTGAAAATCGGTACCGCCGACGTGTCGAACATCGTCGCGGTTGCCCAGGGTTCGCCAGTATTTACAACGACACCATCCAAGGAAGTGCGGGAGGCCTCGCTTGACGTCATCATGCTTGCTCCTTGTCGCGCGCGTAGACTCCTCCGACCAGCTCTGATACCACTGATTTAAAGGACTCTCCTCTACTTTGCAGGAACTGGGAATTGTTCTAAACGATAGAGCTCTGTCTTAGCTTTCCAACGAGCCGTCAATTGCTTCGTTCGCCTGAGAAACGAGCGAGCTATAGCTGGAAACGTGAA